CCCGAAGCTAGATCTACATGAGAAAGCCATCAAGATTAAAACCTTATACCTCCAGGAGCTAGATCAAGATGAACAAATCTCAGATCTCCATGCTCCAAGACAACCAACACTTCTCCAAAGAGTTCTTCTTCTTCCAAATGCACCAAAGTCCACCAAAATCACTCCAATGCTCAAAATCTAAATAAATGAGGGCTACGGTTTCGAATTTAGGGTTAGAGGGGATGGAGGCTGAAGATAAGGAGGGTTAGAAATGAGTTAAGGGCTTTAAATAGGCCCCAAGACCCTAAATTAGGGTTTAATTCTGAGTCGCGTACGCCTAGCGTACATCTGATATGCCCAAAGTACGCAAAGAACCTTCGTGATCACTCCAACCATTTACGCCCAACATACATCCCTTATACGCCCAGCGTACACGGCAAGACTTTAACCATTCTAACTTCTGAAGACCATAACTTACTCATTCTAACTCCTATTTCGATGATCCTCATATCCGCGGAAAGGTATTGAGGAGATCTACAACCCTATCTAATTACCTTTCACATAAAACACCTCGAACTAAAATTATTAATTCATGAAAGGCCTCATCCATCACTTTTACCATTAGACCATTGGGCTCCAAAACACAACCCAAACTCTTGGATCACATAATCTACATTACCCACTTACAAATGGGTCTAAACCTCTCTTTCCCCAAAGCCCGAAGCCTTATGATACTTGATCTTCAGATCAGGCCTCGAATTATGAAACGACTCGAAATATGGTGTTACAACTCTCCCCCACTTAAATTAGATTTCGTTCTCAAAATCATTCATTACTACTTCCTCTACCACGCTAGTCGATCCTGCCCGAACTTCCTGAATTCTGTTTAAGACTGGTGATTCATCCCATACCGACGACCGCCTCCAAAGACCGTGAACGGTCAAGTTCACAGTAAGTCTCTTGGTAAATTGAATCATTGAGTTTTAGTTCCTCTTATGTGAAATAAGTGAGTTCATGTTAACTATTACCAGATACCATATGGTATCTTACTTCCAAATATATAATCTGACAAACAAATCAAATAGCTCAAATTGCAACCTTAGGAATGCGTCTAAAAATTGAATTTTGTATTAAGCAGTTATGAGCCAAACAAACACTCAAGCCTCGTAGTACGTGTTTCCCTGATTCCGAAAATATAAAGAACATCCAAAATGGAGTTCGTATGCAAAAGATACGACCGTTTTAAGAATCCAAAACCAGTGTAATACTGATTTCTTAAAAATTGTCAAAACCGTTTCTATCCGTTGAGGGACTTGCACACCTCAGATGGAATTTCTGAAAGCATTTTTGGACTAAAATTATAGCATAATATTTTATTTCATATTAGAAATATTTTTAGTACAAATATTTATAAAAAAAAATGAAAAATCAGACGTTTTCATATTTAATTGGGTTTCTTAATAAATGTGTCATTTTGTTTTCTTAATACATGTAGATATTAATAGACAAAAATAAAACAACTAAAACAATGTTTAATTTGTCTTTGTATTCATGTAATTTTCCCTAATGAATTTCATTTTAACAAGATTCAATTTTCTTATGCAGAAATACAATTGGGAATATTTGATATACTTTTTTAAAAGGGCAAGATAGACCTTCATTCAAACCTATTAATTGCTCATAAAGCTCTTGTATTCCCTTTACTCCTTTTTTACCCTTTATGCATCATATATTAGCTTTTTTGTTGTATATATTACGTATTTTTATATCCCTTAAAATCCTACAATCCCTTAAGCCATAAAACTCAGTGGTCTGTTATGGTTCTAGATAGCAAAGTATTATTACTTAACTGGGCATCCCAAATTAGCTTTGCTACCATTTGTTAAAATAATTCTCAATATACAAGCTCTTTTGCAAAGGTTTCCCATATGTTTTTCCTTGTTTAGGGATTATGTCTCTAATATTTATTTTGAACATTTATAATTGGTGATTTTTTTCTTCCATAATATTTTAGTAACTAACTGGAAGTAACACTATAATTGTGTAGGGATTCACATGTAAATCACATATGAATCACATGTGAATCACACTTGATTCACATGTAAATCACATGTAATTCACATATGAATTACATGTGATTCACTTGTAAATCACATGTAATTCACATGTAAATCACACATGAATCCCATATGAATTACATGTGATTCACATATAAATCACATGTAATTCACATATAAACTAAATGTGATTCACATGTAAATGACATGTAATTCACATATGAATCGTAAGTAATTCATATATAAATCACACGTAAATCACATGTGATTCACATGTAAATCATATGTGATTCACATGTAAATCACATGTAATTCACATATGAATTACATGTGATTCACATGTAAATCACAATTTAATCACATATGAAATACATGTGATTCGCATTTGAATCACAAATTAATCACATATTGATTACGTCTATATGCAACATGCATTTTGTGTGAATTTTCTTCGTTAATTATTTTTTAAAATTTTCTTGTGAATTTCACATATGTATCTTAAAAGATACAATCACATGTGAATATCATATTATATACTCACATGTGAATCTTACATGATATATTCATATGCATTTTTATGAGTGTTTTGCATTAATGATTTTTTTTTAATTTTCTTGTAAATTTGGAAGAATTTGTAGAAAATATTGAAGACATTTTCCACAAATATCTTCAATATTTGTGAATTTCACATTTGTAAGATTCACATGTGAATTTCGTATTTGAATCTTAAAAGATACAATCACATGTGAATATCATATTATATACTCACATGTGAATCTTACATGATATATTCATATGCATTTTTGTGAGTGTTCTTGCATTAATCAATTTTTTTTTATTTTCTTGTAGATTTTGGAAAAATTTGTGGCAAATATTGAAAAAGTGAAAATTGATAAATTGAAGAAAATATGGAAATATTGATAAGAAGTCAAGAAAACACTTTGAAATTTGTAGCATTTTTTCGTTTTTTTATATTTTATTTTGTATAATTAAATATTTGTACTATTGTGTTTATAGATTAGTAAATCAAAAAGTGTTTTTTTTATGATTTCTTTATGAATATTATAGTATAAGAAATATGCATATGTGCATTTGAAAAACAAAATCATATATACACTTAAAACGTTGATTTTTTTGTTAAAAAATTACATTGTTTTTTCTAATATTCCAGTTTTTATTGAAATTTTACTGTTTCTAAAAACTGCACTTTTTTTTTCATTTTTTTTAAAAAATTCATGTTTTCTAAAAAAATTTAAAAAATCTGCATTTAGAAAAAACGAAAATCATTATTTTTTTTAAAAAAATCTGAACATTTAATTTATTATTTTATTTTTTAGACATTTTTATTCTTATTTCGAATTACACAAAAAATTAAACATTAAATGAGATTTAAGATGACGATCATGCCCTTAATGAGTTAATTTTGATCTAACGCTCCACCTTTAGTTCCCGGGTTCTCGGGAAACTATGAGTTCTCAACGGATGTCACCCCTATATATATATATATATATATATATATATATATATATATATATATATATATATATATATATATATATATAAATCCGGTTAATGTGGACTTTAATGATAAAATTAACCCTATTTTTCTAAATATGTCTATACTAAATTTGACTTCCATTACAAACCATATTCAATTTCTCTAAATAAATCACCTACTCATATAAAGAAAATAATAATGTGAGCCTATGTGTATTTTATTTGTATACAATGGTTGTCCAAAGATTTTAATGTAAGAAACTCAACCAAAAACGTAATCAATGGCAAAAAATAGACCATACATAAATTAGATTTATCAAATACACCAGATTTATCAAATATACACTAGGGGCGTGTTCGGCAAACTAGCTGGTAGCGGGTAACTTGTAGCAGGTAGCGGGTAGCTTGTAGCTTGTAGCGTTTTGTTAAACGCTACGTGAAGTAGCATTTGGATTTGCAGCGTTTTGTTTAGACTAAACGCTAGAAGCTTGTAGTGTCAAACGATGCTTTATGTTCAAAACGGAGCGTTTTGTCAAATGCTAGAAGCTAGAAGCTCTTAAACGCTCCGTGCCGAACACGCCCTAGATTTATCGAATTGATCAAATATATATATATATATATATATATATATATATATATATTATATATATATATATATATATATATATATATATATATATATATATATATAGGAAAAAGTTCAATAGAGAACCAATATGGATCAAAGAACCAAGGAACCCATCTTAAGCATCTATTTTCTTTTAATCTTGGCCATTAATCCTTAATTAACCAAAAAAAACACGGAGGGGCATTTTGGTAACTTCAGCGTCTCATTTAATATTCCTGTTTGTCTCCGTTAGCGTCTTCTGTTACTGTCCTTCATCTTCTAACACTGATCGATCCAAAATCTCGCCTGTTTCTTCGAAATCTCAACCTTTTTCATCCAATTTACTAATAGTTTCTTTAGATTTCAACTAATAATTAGGTATTTTTAACATCTATTCATCTTTCGTTTATGATTATTAGGTCAATTATGGACTTTGATTTTACCGTTTTTCTTCCGATGCATTGTTTATCAATCTTATTTTTATTGTTATTGTAATCGTCTGATTGTCAAATTCTCTTTATTTTACCGTTTAATCTTCAAATTGTTATGTTTTTATTGTTAATTTGCTAATTTTATGTCGTATGTTGAATATCCGTTTGATGTTACTGTTTTTCATTCGATCGTTTCTGTAATCATTCGTCTGTAATGCGTATTCGACATTTTGATAATCAATTATATATTGTGCATCTTCTGACATTTAAGTTTTTTCCAAACTTTTAGTGATTTTGAGAATCTTATCTTATCTTGTGTATATATTTTAAAGTTTTGTGATTGTCTTGTTTATTTGTTTCCTTTTTTGTATAATTATCAATTCTAAATTTCTAATCTGTATATAAACTCCAGGTTACCGACGATTCATTATGAGTTCTCTAAATTCTTGTTCAGATTTGCATTCAACTATTAATGAACAATCACGTAAGTTTTTTTTCTTAATAGAAATTTCACATTTTCTATATAATGTAATAAAATATATGTTTTTTTTGGTTTTGCAGTTCATGATCAATCATCTTCAAATATGAATATTGATCATTCAAATAGCAGTAATTCTTGTTCAGATTTGCATTCAATTATTAATGAACAATAACGTAAGTTTTGTTTTCTTAATATAAATTTCACATTTTATATATAATGTAATAAAATAGATGCTTTGTTTGGTTTTGCAGTTCATGATCAATCATCTTCAAGTATGAATATTGATCATTCAAATAGCAGTAATTCTCGTTATAGTTTTGATTTTGAGCTCTACAATCCCGTTGAGATTCCCATCGATCATCCCCATTCGACTGATGCGTTGTATTGCTCGACCTAATCAGAAGAAGACGACGCCCCTCCTTTGCTGGAACTGTTTGATATTTGATACGGGGCTTCAATCAGAAAACGGGTTTTGATTTTGACCCAGTCAAAAGTCAAGGGTAACTCAAACTTGCATTTAAAAATATCCAGAACAACCCCTCCACCAGTAAACCTCATAAATTAAGTCCTAAAGCCCCAAATCAGTTTCAAATGTACATGTTTAGCCCCTGTTTTGTGAATAGTTTGCAAGATCAGTCCCTGGAGGATAATTTTGGTAAAATCAATCCCTAGAGTTTACTTTTTTTTTAAAAGAAAGACCACCATATACTTAATAATTAATACCAAAACTACCCTTTGGTTTATTAGGAAATATAAATATACCCGGTGGTTCACTTTAAGAGCAAGGAACGTCACGTAACAACTTTCACGAAAAGTTTCACACCACGAGCCTCGTTCACGCTACGAAAGTGAGTGCTTACGGTCCCTTTTTAATATTTTAATTATTTCGGGGGGGGGGGGGATACATGTGCATAGATGTTTTGTTTATACAAATCAATTTTATTTTTATGCGAAAATACAAATCTAGTTTATAAAAATATTATTATTTAACAGTTTACCATATTGTTATAAATAAACTAGTGTAAATTTTCCATATACGTGTTATGATTGTTTTATCGTGAAATAACCAGTTCACACAACAAATACTACATTATACAAAGTTATATGTCTTTTATGTGACATTGTATATTATAAAAAACACGTTATAAAACTTTGTAGTATTTCAAGGATTACTATGTATGTTCATTTATGTTTAAGTACACAACGTTTATACGTGTACATATGTTCATTAATTTGAAACACTCTTTTTTATAAAAGCGAGCACATTACATTTTTACACAAATGCCAAACATACTCGGCTTTTATAAACCTTATACAACGATATTCATTATGCCTAGTGACTTAATCCCAATTAAGTTAGGGCTGAGAGTTATTCACAAACTTTTTAGTTAAGGGCTTTTTAGTGAGACACTATTCATTAGCTAAGTTTAAATACTTATCATACCCACACTACTGTAACCGTTAATCTTCGGAGCGAGATACATATGTATAGATCTATACGGGGTTGATATCCCCACCTGCGGTTGCTAGCTACAACCCTCGACCGATCAATCGAAGCAAGTGATAGGTGTCTACATTTTTTACTACAACATCCAATGAAGAGTTGTAAGGGGTACATTCAGTCACATAGCTCGGTTATAGGACTCACTAAAAATATTAACTAGAATATATATATATATATATATATATATCTATATATTATATATATATATATATATATATATATATATATATATATATATATATATATATCACTACAACCATGGGCTTACTTTATTTCAAAACTATTTTGAAGTCTAGAATTACTTATGTAACATAACTGTAACAACCCAAAAATCATGACTGAAAAATTTCTTTTTAAAACATAATTGTCAATCCATAAAAGAAATCATAACATAAATCAGAGTGTAAATTTCAAAACATATTTTCATTATAAGAGTAAAACATCCCAGGCTGACTAATCAATGGTATGTGCCACGCGATCACCCCGAGCTCTTCCCTCCGCTACCGGAAGCACCTGAAACAAAAACTGAAAACCGTAAGCATGAAGCTTAGTGAGTTCCCCAACCTACCACGTACCATACAAATCTACTGATCCGAACATAATCTGGAACACATAACCATATACTGGGCCCCTACCCGCTGCATTGACCTCGCCCGCTATCGGACCCCGTCCGTCACCAGGCCCCGCCTGGCTTCGAGCCCCGCTCGACGTACATATATGTTTTCCTTAGGCCCCGCCTTTCTCCGGGCCCCGCCCGCTAACATATACTAGCATACAATCATATCACAATACATAACTAACATACTCTACTGGATTACTGTGCTAAGGCCTCGCCTATCTTGGGCCTCTCCCCTGTCCTGCTACCGACGAATCATGGAATCCTGTCCACGCTCCTACTGACAGTGAGGTACGGGCCCAACCCACACTCACTTTCTTCCTAACATGGGCCTCGCCCCTGCTCTGCTGCTAATGAGGTATGGAACACCGTCCACACTCCTACTGATAGTGAGATACGGGCCCAGCCCACACTCACTCTTTTCCTAACTTGGGCCTCGCCCCTGCTCTGCTGCTAATGAGGTATGGAGCACCGTCTACACTCTGCTATTGGTGCGATACAGGACCTCGCCCACACTCACCTCCCTACCAGGCATATACATGTATCACACAGACAACAAGTATAACTATCATACAAACCATTCTTTGGGCACCCGCCCGCTAACATTGGACCTTAGTGCCAAATGCCATCCTAGCATGTTGTGCCTAGGGCTAACCCCCGGGTCTTCCTACTCATAACTACATGGGCCGGCATTATGGACGTAGACCCATTCACACAAAGGAAACTCACCTCCTACTGCTGAAGCTGAACCACGAAAGCACAACCCCGAATTACTGCTCCAAACTCCAACACCTAAAGCCATCAATGAACCATTGACATAAATATCCAAATTACCATAATACCCTTGAAGTCAATCGGTCAAAGTCAAATTCCTGGCCAAAGTCAACCTTCCTGATTGAGTCTACTCGTCGAGTCAACCCATAGACTCGCCGAGTTCTGAAACTCAGAAACTCTCATAATACGACTCAACTCGCCAAGTCACCCCAAGACTCGTCGAGTTCAACGATCTCTGAGTCCCATCCTGTCCAACTCACTGAGTCACCACTCAACTCACTAATCCAACTCACTAAGAACAGACTCGCCGAGTCCACGACAATCTTCAACAGACCCGCCGAGTTGTTCTTCCAACTCTTCGAGTCCCTGCACATCATCATACAACTCGCCGAGTCCTCCCATGTGACTCGCCGAGTCTCTTCAGTCCTTAATCCATACAGTGGCTTTTCGAGCCATGCAGGGGCTCCAACCCATAGATCCACTCTTCTAAAGTCTAACCCCCACGTAAAGTTGCAAACTTTACGTGAAACCAAGGAGCTAAAGGCCCAAAACACTCTAGGGCTAGGGTTTAAGACAAATGGGCTTCACCAACAATTCATTGACTGCTGCTTTAAGACATTCTGGACCATCACAACCCTAGATCTGAAGTAACAACCTCAGATCTAAGCCCCAAACCCGAAATAGATCTCAATCTTACCAAAATAGCCCCAAAATCTCATTCAAGAATAGATCTAGATGCAAAAAGGGTGAAGGTAACAGCTTATTACCTCCAAGATGACCTCCCACTGAAGAATAATCCAAATCTCTGTAAATCCCCTTGATCCAAGCTTCTTGATCTTCAATATCTCTTCACAAAAACCACTTATCTAAGCTCCAAATTGCTCCCAAGGACTCTCACTCACGATTTAGGGTTTCTGGATCTCAAAAGGGTGGTAAAGAGGCTGAGGGAGGGATATGATGTTCTTTATATAGGGTGCAAACCCTAAGATTAGAGTTTTTCTCGCCCAGACCAGACTCGCCGAGTCCACTTACCAACTCGCCAAGTCGGTCACTTACTCTATGACCCGGATCCCGCTCCGACTCGTTGAGTTCTTCCCTGGACTCGACGAGTCGACTCCTTAACTTAGAGCTTTTCCTTTCTTTTCTTGGTCTTTCTGATTCTGGGTGTTACAATAACAATTTGGGTTTCATGGATATTCAAAGGTTTATTACGAACACAATTTAAAGTATGGATTTACATATACAAAAAATACATTTTGGCTTTCAAGGATTTATTACAAACACAGTTAAAGTATGGATTTACTTATGCAGAAATACATTTTGGGCTTTTAAAGACTCATTGCAAACACTGTTTTTAACTATCGTTATACATACAAAGATAATACTTTTTGGACTTTTTAAAAGTATTACTGCGATTAGCAGAAAACTTGTAACGCTCACCAACCTTGTGTTGACCCCCAAAACTATATGTATTTCAGGGAAATCACTAAACAGTTATTCAAGACGGATTGGATTACAGGTGACCAAGCTTACTTGCTGTTGTATTATATGCCTATCAGTTAAGCCAATTCATGTATTATTATTATTATTTGTAAAAACCTTGTATTCAAACATCAAGATGGAATGTAAATGCTATTTTTTTATTGTTATACTTGTGCTATATATTCAGTTTACCTGTGATCCATGAACTTAGTCGCACAGCCCGGCGTGTTCCGCCGCCTCCGCCAGGGGTGTGACACCATCTTAGCAAAAATCACTTATACCTCCGAAAGAATGAAGATTAACACTCTTCCCTCAGCTAAAGAAAGAAACCCAACTGCTCTGCCTGATAACTGAAACAACTACCTTACTCTTGCCAACTGGAAGACCTCAAATCACAGCGATAACCAATCAAAGCAGGAAACTTCCTGAAAACATGATCCCGTCAATTTAAACCCATAAATTATTCCCTAGGACTGCCGATCATTCATTCGTCGTACCTCCCCTATTCTCTTACTAGGAATACCACTAAACCATGCAGAAGGAATAATCAAAATATACTGATAGTGAAACTTCACCCTATCGCAATCCGGAGGTTGTTCCTAACAACCTTAAATACGCACTTGACTTCCTGACAAGTCATCACCAACCTGTTCATCCCATGAGCATAAGGATGATTAATCCAAGAATTCTCATTTTGCATCGAAATCCTATATCAGCTCAGGAGTACCGCCCACCTGACAAAGCATTCGAGACATTCACAATGACCTTCATGAATCAAGATTCCATAACCGATACCCAACATTGGTAACCAAACTCCTGATAAACAGACCGCAAGAAAACCGGGTTCATAATGCAAACACTCCGCAATCAACTACTGATGCACATCTATAATTCCCAACAACCTTTAACTGCTCACGTGATTTAAACCAGCTGGTCACTAAGTCTCCCGACTCCCATAATGCACTAACACCCAATATATGCCAAGAAAACTAACGGTCCAAGACCTAAGAGTCTCAATAAA